GGCCGGGGCCGGGGCCGGGCGAGCACCTCGCGACGGAGGCCGAGACCGAAGTGCGAGGCCAGAGGCCGGTCGGGAGGTGCCCGGGGCCCGGGCCCGTGTGGTCGGCCGTGCGTGCACAGCGCGCCCTTCGCTGTGGTGGCGTCTAAGAGCGGTGTGAGAATCTTGTTTACAAGTCTCTTCACATTTCCTTTTAGCCCGTTTGACTAATTTTTGTAGCATGTCGAAAACAAATGCAGGATGAATGCAGGTGCTAGAGCCGGGGAGGAGATGTGGGGAAGAAAAGCTACCCCCCATGACTGGATGCTGCTACTAATCCCCCCCCCCCATAGGACTGAAGTTTCAGTTAGAAACTGTCCATGTCTTTGCAATCAAAGAGAAGTGTCAGCTTTGATGTGACTCACGGATGCACGACTGTGTCTTAGCATCTTCTTGAGAGTACAGTAATCATGAGATGCACCAAGCGCAAGGCAGTTATTTCTTGCACAAGTCATCTGCTAGTCTTAAAAGGATCTAGGAAGAATATCCTCAGTGCTGCCCTCTACTTCAGGACCGTTTAGAAACTGGACCTGCCATCTGCTATACAGACCGCACAGAAACCCTCCACGACTGATGTTGATAATAGTTCAAATCGTGTTGGTGATAAGGCTGTTAGTGATTACTTGATTCCAGCTTTTCAGAAACCTGTGCGTACAGGAGGGTGTCTGGGCGTGGCGTGGTGTGGTGTGGCGTTTCCTTAAAGTCTCTAAATGTTGTGAACTCCTTTTTTTCAGTCAGTGAACAGTGCAGGTACATTTTTATTTTTATTTTGTTACAGTCTTGTAAAGTTTCACAACGTAACTTACAGATGGCAGGTATCTTCCCCTCCATCCCCTTTGTGTCTGTAGAAAGGACCGAGTTGGGCTAAAGATCAGCATTTTCATCTCGCCCTTCCCACATATGCCACAGAACAGAGGTCTCTAGAGGTTCTGCGCGGGGGCTGTGTGTAACACGGATCCAACATTCACGGGACCTCTGTAGAGCGGTGGCTCTAACTGCCGTTTTTCTCTGTCAGCTACAGCAGCAGTCATAGCCAAGCCGCACAGAACATGGCCAGAAGGGCTAGAGATGCTGGGTCTCAGTCCAGCGCCTTTTTGAACCGTGCAAAACCGTGTATAGAGGCATAGTTCTGTGCAGTAAGGCATGGCTTCCAAGGTACAAATGAAGCCTGTACAGGTGTTGCATACCCATATATCTTACTGCGGGGCTCTGTACAATGGTACTTTATAAAGACGTATCAAAATGGCAGTTTATCTTGAGGGTAGTTAGGGTGAAGCTTACTCCTGAGCACAAGTCTTGCACAGGACTTGCAAGTGCAGCAGCAGTAAGACCTGTGTTGGTCCTTTATTTCGGGTGGGTCTTTAAGTAGGTGTAATGCAGGAACTGGTTGCAGTATTGCAACACAGGACTTCAAAAGAACATTTTTAAATTTTCAGGAGAAAGAAGGGAAATCTAGTTGAGTAGGGGAAGATGATTAAGAACTGAATGCTAAAATCATGTTCTGGAGGCTATCAACACCAGTGGACGTTCTGAGATATGAAATGATAGTCTGTGGGGAAAGAGGAGGAAATACCTAGAACTATTGCAACAACGGGTGTAATAATTTTAGAACATCTTTAAGTCGTCTTCACTTTCTGGAATTATTGTGCAATTGTTTCTGGCAAATGAACTCCTTTTTGTTTTTAATGAAGAAATACTAAATCCCCTTTATATTTCACTTTGAAAGATCTGTAAAAGTGAAATGTGGAACTCATTCTTCCGTGTCACTGATTAGTAGCCCAAAATACATCTGCTCCACATGAGCAACTGCAGCCTTTTGATTTCACAGAATAGCTGTATTTGCCATTACTTTAAATATTTCCTTGTTGATTTAATTCATGTGTGTTATTACTTGTAAAGTCAGAAAAAAAACTTCTATTTATTATACATAAATCTTTGAGTGCAAAAATGGTTAAGAGAAGAGTACTTTCCTAAATTTGTATGCTAATAAGTATTGTACTTTTATTCCAGTGGTACCAGTACCCAATTACAAATAGATGTTGTCAAAGTTAAAGCTGCCCAGTATCACTTCAGAATAACTGCATACGTTAAAAAAAAAAAAAAAAGACCCAGATTCTGTTCACTTACAGCTGTTTAATGTGCAACATTGTTGTTTCAGTGGACTCTCTCTAGGTAGGCACTGCCATACTTCTTGCAAATATCCATTTCGTCTGAAATCAGTGCCAGTAGCTAAACACTACCAAGTGAGTGATCTGGCTCCAGAACTGTGGTGGTGTTTAGTAACTGTTGCAATCTTTAATTGCTAAGTGAATCTTAGTTCTAGGAATGAGCTATGAAGAATTTTATCCTAATTCTGCGGGAGAATTTTGCAAAAAGGAAGGGGGAAACCGTGGTTAACATTTCACTACTGGTATTGGGATTTTGCACTGAGCTCTTAAGAGCAAGCAAGGGTAATTTATGTACAAAGGATGCCTTAAAATAAGCCACCGTAATTACAAAAATGCAGCGTTTAAATTTATAGTAAAAACCCACACGCTGTTGGCAAAACTGAAACTGCATCTGGAAAACATTAAGGATGCTATTAAAATAGTCCAGCATAAACTAGAAATCAGACTGAAATTACAGCGTTGCTTACTTTTTGCCTAAACAACTACTTTTAGGAAGTGTATTTTAAATGTGAAATACTTTACTTTTTTTTTTTTTTTTTTTTAATGCAAGACAGATTCAGATGTAGCTTTTTATTAAGTTGTGCATCTAATTTTGTCTTTTTTATATAACAAAATCTTATGAGATTTTTGTCAATGTTCTTTTATTCCTTTTAGTAATTTAAAATATTTCCAAGTGGCTGCAAATCCAGCTGTTGAGAAGGATTAAAATGGGTTATCAAGTGAGGATGCAACCACATGTATTAAACATTTAATTTTATTAAAAAGTTGAAATGTTTTTGAACATTTTAAAATTACTACTTTTATAAAAACCGAAATAGGCAAAATACCCATTTGTCTTCTATGTACATAATACATTACAATATTTCTCCTTGTATAAAATTATTTACATTATATAAAAAAAAATAGTAAAAATAGGTTATTTTCTTACAAGACATCAAGCCCTGTACTTCTAGTGTAGATCATGGCAGACAAGAATATTATTGCACCTGTGAAAGAAATAATCTAACAAGAGGAGTGTTTTTCTTAGCCATGCTCTCAGCTGAGATCTAACAAACAGATACAGTAACATTCATTTAATTCCATCTAGGGTCAACTTCAGGCAGTTTCCATACAAACATTGTCCTAAAGCTTATGGATTGAGCAATTACAATCAAAGATACAGTATTTACAGCTTTATCTATACCATCTGTATGGAGTTTTGTCCAGTTCACCCTTCACAGAAGCCCTATAAATAAGCCACATTTCCCCCTGCACGGGACAGACAGTCACACTGATAAAGTTCCTTTAAATCTCTTTAGGAGATGCCAGGCTAAACCTCCTTGAGTCAAGTTAAACTTTAGCATCCATTGCTAGAGCTTTGTTGCCTCCCTAAGTAGTACCAGCTACTGCTCCTTTTAATGATCCTGCACCTGAGCAGTTAAATAATGTCCATCCTCTGCTATGCAGTTCAGAGGCCCTATGGCTACATATGCCTTTTCATGTGCAGAGCCAGATGGTCTGACCTGGAGAAAGCCCTGTCGCAGAGGTGGCACTGGAAGGGACGGTGGCCTGTGTGCTTGCGGTAGTGACGGGTCAGCTCATCAGAGCGAGCAAACTTCCATCCGCAGCCGTCCCAGTTACAGTGATAGGGCTTCTCACCTGTTGGGAGAAATCACACAGTGACTCAGCATTGTCCTCCCACATGCAGGCAGCTCTCCCACTCATCGTTTTATATTTAGATTTGGATCTTAATTTAAACCTTCCTTTTACCAAGGCCATCACAACAGAACCCAAGTGGGTCCTAGGCCAGTTAAGCTGCACTAGCAGTTCTCCCTTCCCTGGCTTAAGGAAGCTTTCTGCCTGGAGTAGCATTTGTGAGGTGGTGGGAGGGGGGAGCGAGAGCGTGACTGGGAGGCAGTTACTACAGTAATAGCTATAGTTGGAAAGCTTTGGCAAAGATACAGACATCTCCCAGACATTACAGCATTAGTATCTCAGGCTAAGACTTGATACCCATGCAGCTTACAGGCACTAGAAAGTTAATCTTTCACTTGGCTCGGGGCCCTTCTTGCACATGCAGTGGTTTGTTTTGTTTTGAGGCAGTAGTTTACTAGCCCGGCTCTCTCAAGTAACCGAGTATCGGGCTGCATTTACCTGTGTGTGTTCGGAGATGGGCCTTCAGGTGAGAACTCTTGGTGTAGGTTTTCCCACAGCCAGCATAGGTGCACGTGTGCGTGGCTGTCCGCTTCCTGGGCCAGGACCGGCGCCCTCTTTTTGGCTTGGAGTCCAACAGCTCCAGGGGAGAGGAAGGAGGGGTGAGCATACCTCTTGGGGCTGAGGGTTGCAAAGGCACCGTGTCCTCAAACAAACCAAACTGGGAGGTGCTCTGGTACTGGAGGTGGCTGTGGTGAGGATGGAAGCCTGTGGTGGGGTGATAGGTTTGCTGGAATGGCATTGAGGAATGGCAGATCCTTTGAGCTTGGCAGTCAGTTACCATGAGGTCGGTGGGGCTCAGGGGGGGTGTTTCTGCCCCTGGGATCTGGGGCGAGCTGGCCATCCTTGCCTGCTCATAGGCCATCATGCAGGTTGCGTTGCCTTCTTGCTTGATCTTTGGGCAGGTCTGGGGTACAAGGCCCAAGATGGGCCCATAATTGTCCATGTCAGGTTCTGGCTTAATGTTCTCCACGAACTGGGGGCTCCCGAAGCTGGGTGCCATGAAAAACCGCCCATGGATGTTGTGAGGGGGGCAGAAGTTTGAGTCCATGTCTGACCTGATCATCTCTGGCACGAGGCTGGGGTTGTAAGGAGGCGGGCTGCCTTCCTCCAGGGAACTGTAGCATCCAGAAGGCGGGTTTGTCTGGTAGAAGTTACTGGGCTCCGTCTGTGCCAAGGGGTAGTCCCCAGGGGGTGAGTTCTGGCTGAAGTTGTCGTTGCCCATGGAGAGAATAAGTTCCAAAACGTTGTTGAGATCTTCGTCCTCTTTGGGAGGGGACAGGCTGCCTGGCCCTTGCCGCATGTCCAGCACGGCGCAGCTGCTGGCAGGGGCCTTGCTCTCCAGGTCACACTTCCATCGCTGAGGGAGGGAGGGAAGAGCG